TACTTATTCTTGATAAAAGTGCTAGAATAGTATGTCTAAGCTATTGTTTTGTAATTTTATATGACTTTAATCTTTTGTTTTCATTCCAATATTGATTCTAGTTTGAGTTAGACAAAAGTTAATATGATTGTTAGTATTAACTATAACGAATCTGATCCTATACTTTAGTATGAAAATACATCCAAGAGAATAATACAGTACTTTTCTTTGTTGCACACCTTCTTTGAAAAAGATTATCGTTCATAAGGCAAACTATATTTTAAAGTTAGATCATTAAAATCGGTCACTCATGTAAACTGCAAATAAATACATAACAGTAAAATAATGGTCAGTTTGTTATAATCTAATGAATGGAAACTTAAATCTCTGACATTTAGAGGCTTAGTATAAGTAGCATCTGAATGTATAGATATCTTTCTTGTTTCATCAAAAGTATTGATGTTTTTGTGGTAAAATTTAATGTAAAACGAGAAAACAGATGAACTTATCTAACTTTATTCTTTGGCTACTAATTTGTTCTTCCACAAGACCTCATTTAATTCACAGAATCACTTATGTGTATTTTGAAGGAAAAGACATACGGCTTTTTACCATTTTAGTAAGTCCCAACAGTAGATATTGAGGAGTTAATCAATGTGACAAGGGCACATTTCAGAGTGATTATTTTACACCAAGATTATCTATAAGATTCGATTTCAAAAGTGTTTTTTTTATAAGAAAGTAGAATCTTATATCATCTATATTAGAAAAGATGGACTGTGGTTAGTTCGCGTTTTGTCCCATTTGAGAATCGTCCGCTGGTTGTATCAGCATACCAGTGTTAATGTTCACATTGGGACTTGAACTTAGTACTTTTAATTTTCGAATGAACGTGACATTATCCACTGATTTGTTAAACCCTGATAACCACTTCCTTTTCCATCAGCCATGATGTTTATGTTGTCATTAGTAAGGGTTTGAATTGTTTGATTGTTAAAGTTCGGCTTCGAATCCTGTACGGACTGCCTTAGTATGACCATTTGTGACATGTTTTATACGAAACAAGGATGAATTATGGTTGGCAGTGAATTTAAAAACTATACAAAAGGTATTCTGTTTGTTAAACAATTTCTTCGGTTTCTTCTTCAGACATAAAAGTGCAATGACTGAAATCTTTTCCAAACAACTAACTGATAAAATCGCTTATCAACAGGCAAAAAAAAATTTAGTTTTGATGATAAGAGAAAGTAGGAAGAACGAGATAAAAACCTACCCTTTTTTTTCAAAAAGCGAATTTATTGTAAATTAAAGATTAAAAGAAAAGTGAGGGATAAAGAAAGAAAGTAAGGAGAAGAACTTTAAGTAAAAAGATTTTATCTTTTGTCTATTTTAGTTTAACTAATCTAGTTTCATTTTTTTAACAGGCGAAAATTTAAAATCTCTCTTCATCTCGTTATTTCATCATAAGATCAGATTTATTTTCTTTTACTTTTTTTTACCACAATTAATTCTGTTGGTAGGCTACTTTCATGTTTGTAGTAATTTGGGCAAAGAAAAAAAATTCGATCATAGATTATATAGTCATTCTCTTCCTCCCCTATTGATGAGAAATCAGTTTAAAACACTAGAAATTATTAACCTATGAATGTTAAATAAAATTTGTTCAATAAGTCTGCAGTAAAATTGACACATTGATTAATCTACAACGAGTGAAGAAATCCAAAAACAAAAAATTATCCCTGGACCTGATTCTAACTAACTATTCGAAATAACTCGAGACGAGATGATGGAGGATGAGAGAATAATTCAAGTGATAGAAAAAAAACATCAACTACAATTGATTGTATCAGTGACATCATCTAATTTTAGATGATGTAGGTTTTTTTTAAAAATAAACAGAATGGATAAACAAATTCTATTTTTTTTAACTTTTATAGTTTCAGGAAAAAGATAGATTTCACCGTTTCGGAATCCATTGTTTTTAAAAAAAAAAAACAAATGTTGGTTTATTTTTGTTTTCTTAACTAGAATGTTATTATTATTATTTTTTGATCACTAAGAATGACATTGAATATTTGATTTTATGTAGAAACGCTTTATTGGTTATAGAATATCGTAAATGAATAGCAAAATATATAAATGTATGTATGTATTACAGAGATAGATAGGCGAGTACTTTCTTCTGAATTTCGTCACAATTCTAATCTGTCTTTTTCCCTAGTGGTTCACCTTTTTGTGTGTATTTCTGGAATACAATTTCTGTTAGGTTTTAAGCATCTACTTTGAATGGCTTTGTATATGCCTGTGCGTATACACATACGTCTATGTATGTGCCTAAACAAATTCAGATTCTCAATTTTAATCTGTTCACATCTGATCTACTAGTATCAAATCATTATGACACAATCAAATTAGGAAATTCTTTTCATTTTCTCTTACATTCACCAGAAAGAAAATTTATTTTTGTAATGGTTGTTAATTACTGTACATTCGTTTATTATTATTCTTAACCAACTTTCCCTTTTCTTTTAAAGATCGATCAAATTGAAACCTACTTCTAATGATTATTTTGAAAGTTAGTAGATTTAAAGTCATTGACTCTTGCCTGTACAATGAAATTCACTTCTATCCATTATTGTTTTTCTCATTAAATTCTTGTGAAATATTAGTATTAATTTTGTGTAAATAAAAAGAATTATCAAACTTCAAGTAATTACAAAAATTTATTTTTAACATTTAAGTAATAAAAAAGGATTAATTTTATGAGTGAATTTCTACAGAATTAGAGAATGAATTCAATAATTACTAAATAACAATTATGATGTCCAATGAAAGCAGCAATTGTCATTGAATTTCATTTGCTTTCAGCTCAGATTAATATTGAGTTGTGCATTGTAGGATTTGGGGATAATGAATGTAATTTAAGCTGTGAAAAGTGAATATTCGTTCGGAAGCTCAATAAACACAATGTATTGACATTCTAATATACTTCTAGATTTCTATAATCTTTTACATTTGAATGAAGACTAAAACCATTAGGCAAAAATAGGAAGAAAAGTTTACTTGTTAAAATACCCCATGTGCAGAATAGAGCGTATTCATAAGTTTACACTTAGTCGTAGGACTCTGGAAATTTCTAACAAGTATTAACAAAACCAGTAATTGACTTGATAGTTGATCAGTACGTTAGTTTCTAGACTTATTTCAAGATTTTTCAATCACGTCAATTAGGTAGAGGTAATTTTGGGAGTTTTTTGACTTCTAGAAGAATTTTCGAACAGTTATAGATGACTTTTAGTAAGATATAGTTTTTTATAGTGGTTTTTTACCTTTAAGAATTATTTAGATTATGTCAGCTTGTAAGAAAGTATAATTTTAAATGAGATAATGGAAATTTACGTATCACTTAATACTTATGAAGTTAATTCTTATTAAAGGACGTGAGCATATGCATATCACTCATAATCAGTCAATTATTCACAATTTATACACAACTGGAAAATAAATGGACTAGAAATATGAATAAATTTTCAGCCCAGTTAATTTCACTACGGTCGCTTTTCTAATTTATAAATTGTGACTAAACCAAAGTATTCAAACTTAGCAGTGCTTTCTAGTAAGCAATTATTAACAAAGTTCTAGTTATGGAATTGAATTATTGAACTTGTTATGACTCTCAGAGTGTAGTTCATTCAACTGATTTAAACAAGTTAATGGAACTAAGAGACAAAGTATATATATATATATATATATATATATATATATATACATATCACAGAAGAAGGAAGTTAGTGTATTTCATCGAGTAGACTAATATACAATAAAAAGTTTGTCCATAGTGAATTCACGTAACTAAGTTAATCTTTACAATAAAAATACTTGTAAAAAATGTACTATCAAGTATTTTCTATGTTTTACTTGTTGAAATGTGGAACTTTTATGAAGATGATAATGTAGGGGATAACTGAAAATAAACCTCTGAGAAAGCAGACTGTTATGTTACAGAGTATGCTCATAAATAAGATATGTAATATGGTTATTAAACAGTTAATTGATTACTGCATCTATGGGGGATACGAAATTTTCGCTAGAGACAGGTCGCTTAGCACGTAATGTAAAATGTTCCGTGACAGTAAGATAAACTTATTTTAAATGACACTTATATAAATAAAATACTTAATTCATGTCTAAGCATTTGCAGATAGAGTGCTGATCTGCTTTACAATATTCGTGTCATCTTCTTTAGTGTGTACTGTGATTTTTATCATTCAATCACTGTGAACGAAAAACAACAATGTATATAAAGGTCCATGAGTGCAACATTGAAGCAGTACCTCAAGCACAATTACTCAGATTTTTACTTATGTTGTGAACAAAAATTAACAGAATATAAAAATCGGCTACTTATAATCATTTTTAACCATTTGAAAATTATTTCATTCAAATTCTTCTTCATTTATGTGCACATTAGTAGTAATTGAATGGCTCTCTGTGATGTAAAAGCAGACTAAAAATTGAGCATTATATCTTGTATTTTGTTATCTCTTAAAACCTGGTTCTTATATCGAAATTATAAACTTTTTTAAAAAGGAAATATAACTAATTTGTTAAGTATAGATTTAAGTATTCAAATTTTAACCATACTTTGGATTTGTGAGAACTAGTACTAACTTCCTGTTATCCAAAATGAAAAAAGTATAATAGATCATGAAATTTTTGCCTGTTCTTTAACAATGAAGTAAACACATAGAGACTCTACTCCACTTTTGGTGACAAAGAGAATAAGTGAGGATAGACGAATTCCGAAACTCATTCCTGGTACTTAAACGTTTACTTGAAAATTCTTTGTAAAAGTCATTTCATTCTCTTTTATGCAAATAATTCTTAAATTGAAAATTCTCTTTTTGCTTTTTTTTACATCATATGCTTTTCATCGATTCACCGTTTACCAAAATCACCATCTTTCTTTGATTGGATTCAATCTCTATTTTTCTTCTCATCATCATCATCATTCTGAACAGATGGCTTCTTCAAATCGATCAATGTTTACTTCTGATCAAGAGTTGAATTTATTAGTAAGTGTTTATTTTTATAAATATTTCGATTATTTGTTTAGTTATTGCTGTTTTTTTTCTGTTTTTTTTAAAAATTTTTTTCTCGAGTTCTAATTCTTTTCGTATTCAGTTGTCTTTTGTTTCAGCTTATCTGTTTACTTGTTTTTCCAAAGGAAAAACTATGTTGTTTCCTATTTGTTTATGCATAAAATACTACTGTTAATGTTTTTGTTTGATGACGAGTTAGATAAGATTGTTTTTTTTTAATCTGGTGATACGTGTTTGTACGTGGGCAAAATGTGTAACGAAATATATATGTAACAATCAATGAATGATTACTACAGTTTGTAACCACTGGCCTCATTCAAGTTTCAGCAGATCAAATAAACAATTCTTTTGAAATGATTGATATTAGATGAAAATTTATTATAAATGGGCGAGCTCAAAGAGAGTGAGAATAGCTCAGAAGTGTTCAGCAATCATATGGTATGTAGGGTGTGGTATTCATATTAGGGCCAATAGAATTAATATGTATAGACCTTCAGTTGATGAATGTAAAGCAGAATAAATGGAGTATTTTTAGAACATTAGGTCATCAAAGATTGGAAGGTTCAAACAGTTTTTAAGTGGACCTCAAAATTCCTTTTTAGTATGGTCACAAGCCCTACACCCAACAGTTTTTACTTATACTTTCTTACGCCTGTTACCCCCAGTGGAGCATGGGCCGCCGACTATTATTCTCCAACCTACTCTGTCCTGGGCTTTCCTTTCGAGTTCTGTCCAATTTTTGTTCATTCTTCTCAAATCTTTCTCCATTCCTCAGAGCAGTGTGTTTCTTGGTTTTCCTCTCTTCCTTTTGCCTTGAGGGTCTCAAGTAAGGGCTTATCTTGTGACACAGTTGGGTGCTTTCCGCAATGTGTATCCTACCCACTTCCACCGCTTCTTCCTGGATTCCTCCTCCATTGGGATCTGGTTTGTTGGGTAATTCAAACCCAATGGTTTTACAAACTGTAATTTATATGAAATATAAATGCCAGTAAAAGATTATATCAGAAGTTTTGATACTATCGCATAAAATACAAATTCAAAACTTATCAAAATATGACTTTAAGTGATTTCAACAAAATCATTTATCAAGTTTATCATTAGTAACTTACTTTTGTGATAGAAAAAAAAAATACTTGTCTAATTCTGAGCATTTTTTTAGGAAATGAAGATAAGTACTTTGTTAATTATTTTTAATGGATTAGTTTTTAAAGAAGAAAATTATTATCATTTTTTATTTTAGATAATTCAGGCGATTCATGTGCTTCGATTTCATCTATTGGAAATTGAAAAGGTAAGTATGCTTGATTTTCAAATAATATTGATATTCACAGGTACAGATAAAAGTAAAATTACTATGACTGAAAGTGGTTTGAAAAATTGTTGAATTATAGAGGGTATTGATTATTTTGCACTGCCTGAGTATAGCAAACTCTGAAAATCCTGTTTAGAAAGTAACTATTAGGCTTAAATCCTATGGCTCAAAAAGTGTTATAATTGGTATGACTTTAAACTTTACTAACCATAGCTAATTAATTGAATGATATGTCTCCTTAATCGAGTACTAGTTTATGATATGAAACCGCAAAGCTTAATCCCGCGATGGAATCAATAAATTGACTTTAGATTACCAGATAACTTTAGTTTGTATGTTAAAAACTACTTACCGTTAGAAGGATACAGACAGCTTCTCATATTTTATTTTATGAAGTTTTATAGTACATCATGGATGAATCTTAGAGAGGTTGAAAGTAATGACAACCAGGATACAGCAGATATATATGTCTAGGTTTCAATTATTCATCAGACTATGCCTATTAGATCCAAATCATGTCCTTTTTATCACATGAATTTCATTAGTGTAATCGTCAGAACGAGTTAAATTACGCTTGGTGTATTTTTAACTTTATAAAAAAACTGTTCCTGTTGATTGTAATGCATATTTAGCAAGCGATTCAAGAGCACAATTCATACTCATCATCATACTCATCATCTTAATGAGTAGTTCGTAAGATCAGCCTAACTCGTAGCAAAACGTTACAATTTTTTCTGAGTACTAGATTTATATGCATAGTCTAGCAGATAATCTAATGAGTTTCCCTTCACATTCACAACAATACAATTAGGCTAAATTTATTTTGTTTGAATGCTACTGAACCAATAGTCAAAATTTTTCTGCCATTCACTACACCACTATTTAAAGCTACTTTTCTGTTATTCTACATTGAATTCTATGATAACAGAACTAATGTCGAATGTGATTTCAGAGAATTGAGGTATTTTCATTGATGAATAATATAGTGTGTCATTGGAATACAATGTAAATCTATTTATAATGAATAAAACTCTATTCACTTAGTCCTAATCTCTTTCTATTTTCATTAATTTTCAATAACAACATTAATAATCAGTGAATGATTTATTAAACGATATCAAGATGAGGTGCTCGTTAATAAAACATCAAAATTATTAACAAATTAAAGTATGAATAGATTAATATATTATTCATAACAATATAAAATAACAAGACTGATAACACTAGAATTAACATTATCTATTTTCTGCATTGGCACATCTACTTTTTTCTTTGTAAGCAAATGCATTGATAGCAGTTGTAGACAAATATAGAAACTAGTAGAAAAGCCAAGTATCTTATCTGTCTGCATAGGGAGTTTACACTTGCTGGCTTATATATATATATATATATATATATATATATATATATATATATACTTTCACTTTTGTAGTCGACTAAACATTAGTATTGTTATTTTTCTTTTTCAATGGATACCATCATATTCAAGGTATTGTTGATGTTAGCTTGGTTAATATTATCACTAGTTTGAATCATTAATAGTGTAAGAGTGTTGTTTTCGTTTCTTCATATGCTTCATTCTTACTTTCATCTTCTTGTTATTTTGTCTATCCCTTTCTCTCTCTCTCTCCCTCTCCCATCATTTTCTTTTTCTTCTGTTTTTGACTTGTGATGTTGTTTTCTTCTTCTTCTTCTTCTACTTCTTCTACCCGTTTCATCACTTTTCTCACTTAATCTCCTCTTTCCCCTTCACTCCTTCCCTTATTTTTTGTTTTACTTTCGATACATTTCTACTTATGCCTACCGCTTCTCACAAATCGGAGGACTATGAATATGAGTTTAAAAAAAAACAGTCTATAATACAGTTAAACCAACGCTTATACTATTTAATGATTGAATGAATAGGTGAATAAATAAATAATAAATGATTAATTTCTCTTGACATTCTCTTTGCACAATATTGTAAGAAAAAAATAATGGATATCCAGTAGAAATGAATCGTAGATATGTTGAGTTTGTATACAAACGCTTGCCTTTGTACGTCTATCTGTTGTAACTATTTCTTCCAAACTTCATTCAACTGTACTAATTATTTCCTTTTCATAACATTGACAGTTTTCTACAACTGAAAATGACAAGAATACTAACTAACTACTTTGATAGTTTTATTGTAAATAATTAAATTAAAAATCGATCTATTTAAAAAGAAAATAACATATAGGTCATGAAGTTTACTTATGATATTCCGTGTTTACGCTTAGCCATATCTAATAGCTATTGCAAAAACAATATTTTGATTGTCAATATAGGATTGTGGAAACTGTTGAGTTTCATTGAAATCATAAATCGATCAATGTTAGAGACACAATTACAAACCTGAAAGCATATCCCTGTAATGAAAATTATTATGTGCTCACCATTGACAAGCTTCATTAGGAAATTCTTGGAATTGCAGTAAGAAGCCGTGACCGGCGGAGCTCAACCCTGTCGGATATGAGGCAGTTACCGACCGAAGACAGTCATTAAGGTCTCACAGTGTCGTGGATTGATTCAAGTTAGACGTTAACTTCGTTAGATGCTAGTTCAGTTGTCCAGAAGTTAGGTGTTTGCTTGTGGGACAAAGAGTCCTGAGTTTGACTCCTGTGTGAGGTGGTCGTATGCACCACTGGTAAGTCCCATAATAAGACAAGAAAGCCGTCTGATGCCTTCCTGTCACTAATGGTGATCTAACAGTGATCGATTCATGATTTAAATTAAAATATTTTGATTTCAGTGTTTCGATAATGCTAGCCTAAAAGCGTAATATTCACCAGAAATCTTGAAGCTTTCTGGATTCATGTCTAAAATAAACAGTGAATAATTATCACTAAACAGTTTCAAGTTAAGGAAGAAATCATTATTCCTTTGATGCATGTTTTTTGATCATTCTACAACTTGTAGCACATTTGTTATATGCAATCATCACGAGTAATAAATCCATAAAATTATTTACTATTGTAAATACAAATAAATCATACATCATAGAGATAAAATGTAAAATATTTGATAAATCATTATGGAAAACAATTGAAAACAAGTAATCTATGTTTTCTTTTCCTGTCTCAGTCTCCAGCGCAGTTGCTTGTATTATCAGGCAGTCATTCAGCTAAAGCACCTGCAATCTCAGCCTTGGCGAAACAATGAGATAGCTAATCTTTTCAAACATATCCATTTAAGTAGACTTAGTTTTATATGTCAAAATAATATCTTTACTTGGCAGAGATCAATCTTATTGAAATAATAATCTAGAAATTATTTGGAGATTATCTAATCCATGCCAGCAATTAATATGCATGGGATATTATATAATAAACAAATATGGTATTATTATGTAACATTATGATGCTCCAGATTTCACCATTTCTCTTTTGGATCAGTTAATTTTACTTTTACAGTTTTCTAAATAAACTCGTGAATTGCAATCTCTCCAATTTCTTCTGGCGGGTATGTTTTTCTTTTCATAAAACCTATCACTTTTAAAGTTTTCAATGGCAATAAGAATCTCTCCTGTTACGCTTACTGCTTATTTCATGATCGATTTTTAATGCTTTCCCAAATTGTTGCAGCAGCATTGTAAACTGAATCGTTTATATCACGTTCAGGTTAACAACAAAATGGTTGTCGTAAGTTATTTCATTTTCATTGAGATTAAATAAATTTCTTTATGAGAAAATTTACAAATGTAATTAAGGAATGTAATAAAAGAATAAGACAGTCATTAATCTTTGGATGGTATTGACTGATGAGACAAACAGAAGCTGATGATGTGTTTCATCATACAATCTTGCATCAATAATAAATCCTTTATCGTTAAATGATAATTTCATAAAGCCTTTTAAAGCCGTATACATACATATATTGGAATGAATACACTCTGGAATTATCCGGTTATTTTCATCTCAGTTATGCGAATATTTTACCATGATTTTAAATAACATTAATATTAGCTCTCACATAGTTGATGTTTGCGTGTATGCAATGCATTACATCATACGTAAAGATTTCGTTTTAGTTATTTCACTTAATGTCTATGCACTATGTCGTAAACCAGGTAAAAATTGTGAATATCCTATTTAGTGATATTTAGTTCGATGATGGAATCTTTCCTTTCTACAGGTATTTGTCTGTGGGTTTTAGTTTTTTCTTTTCTTTTTTTTCTTCTTTCTTTCTACAACAGCTGTTTTCATTCTTTGCATTATGTCGTTGAACTCTATCTACTGTCAGTATGCATTCATATTGATGTGCATGTATAACTTTCCTAATATAGAACATTTGAACACGCCAAAGATACACGGCGACATAGCACCCTGTTGTGTTTATTTCTAAATGACTCTCTCTCTGGTTATTTCAATTCGCATAAAATATATACAATATGACAGGTTGACAGCTTTTCACAAAAAAAAATTAGAAGAGAAATACCAACTATGAATAAGAGAAAAAGTTATATATATTTATATATATATATACATAGAATGATATTGGTTATTTTCGATGTGTTCATGGGAATGGTGGTGGTTGTGTGAAACGATATCTCAGTGAACTAAAACAAAATCCACTATCAACTAACCAACTAACTAACCAGTAAAAATGTCCACAAGGCTTGGCATTTTTTTAACCATAACAAAACTATACTATCGTTTCATTCTACTTTTAGTTAAGGTAGGAGAAAAGTAAAATCTGTAAACAGACCGACCATTGATGCTATCGTTGATATAACTACATAGTTTCATCATTGATACTTCTACTATTATTATTATTACTACTACTACTACTACTACTAATAATAATAATAATAACTACAATATCTTGTTAGTAATCCAAAATATATACCAGTCGTATTTATCTAAACAAAATAAAAGATATCTAGAATAGTTTCATTCATGGAAAATGTTCACTGTGTAACTCAGTTAACCTTTGAATACTTGTACATATATACATTGGTAATTTTTTGATAACATTGTGGGAGTGAGGCAGTTAAAGAAATTTTGCGTAGATTTCGTTTACCTAAAGTGAGAATCTATTAAACTTTGGTTTTTTTTCTTTTCTTCTTCATGTTATATGTGCATATAAAAAAAAGAAGTTTCTTATTTGACTTAGCTGTCGATGACGCACACATATATATATTTATATGAGATGAATATGCATACTTGCACTAATAATGATATGCAGGATAAGTTTCACTACTCGAATGAATGATGAAATGGCACTGTACAAGAATCAACACAACATATGAGATAGTTACCATGTTCTTTTATTTGAAATGTAGCAGATAGAATTTGTTTCAAAATAAAAATTGAAAAGAACCAGAAATAGGAAAAAAAATTGTATTTTGAATAAAATTCAACACATGATGATCTACAGTATATTTTGTATCATACAAGATGGATAGATAGAGATAGGTAGCGTAAAAGAGAGAGAGAGAGAGAGGGAAATAGACATTTGAATGAATAAGTGAAAAAATTAAAAATAAATGTTAATTTTATGAAAAAAAATATTGTTTTTTTCTCTCATTATCTGTAAAACTAAAGATAATAAAACAAAAGCACAGCATGACAACATGAGTGTATATGATATGTATAGTAATTAACTATCTGACAGAAGAAATCAACAAAATGAAAATGAAATAGCATGTATGAGTGGGAGAAAATGGGATGAAGATAGGAAATGAAAAATGAACTAACCAGAGATAAATTTCCTTACATATCATTTTAACTGAATCAGAAATGATACAGATTTCCTAGATATTACCATTAAATTACATCCATTATCAACATAGTTGAATGGTAGCTAGTAATGAAAGTCAGAAAGCGTATTTCATGTATCTAACAGACTGAAAAATTGCAATCTTAAACACCTATATATATATATATATATATATATATATATATATATATATATATATATATATATATATATATTAGTGTCGGGTCCTCAGATGAACATCAACTCTGAGATGCCGCTACATCCAAGTGATGAATCCCAAAAAGGACGAAACTCAGGTCGTATAATCCACTGTTAAACAGTATACAACGTCATTCATAGTTACCTAACTGATTTAACAATTTGTTGTTGTTCAAATAGGTTGCGATAGCAACTGTAAAGATAAGTTGATAGCATGTAGTTATGGGTATATGAATGGTATTTTGAATACTGTCTGATTATTGTTAAAGCACTGACATAACTGACCTACAAAATCTGTTTAAATTTTCAACAAATATGTGTAATAAACTGTTTTATGCTGAAAAAAATTTTTCTTTTCTGATTTTATTCTTGAAATGTGAACACTAATGTACATGTTCTGTTTGCAATCGATCTTATAATTTGGGTTCGAGTTGTCTTGAATTGTTTGTTACGAGCATGTTAAAATTAGTAACCTCTAAATTTTTTTAGTTACACAAGTCTTTAAGGGTTGGAAACGTGAAATTCATACTCTAACATGAAACCTAATAATGTGAACTTTAGTGTTACATCGTCGTTTGTTTTTTAATATACACGTTTACCGACCTAGATATTTTGTAAGAGGTAGTCATTATTTTTTCCAAAGATTAATTGACCATGAGGTTAAGTGATTTTTAAAGTAAATTAATTGTAATACCTAGACAAAAAACAAATGAAATGTACTTATGATTCGTTTAAGATATCATTGAGAAACCAAGGATGGAAGTGAGACAAGAACTAATCTTAGAGACTAACTTAAAAATAGTCAAATGAGGTTGTCTGGATTTCGTTGGCCAACCCATTTCAAAAACTTAGTCACAACCGGACATTTAAAGCTCTCTTATTCATCATATCATGTGTTTCCGGAACTGAAGTGAACTAAAAAAGAATTACAACTGTTTTCAGTTTAAAGAACTTATTATATACAGTCAAATAATTTCGTCTGAGCTCAAGTACAGCATCATAATGCCTAAAATAACCATAGATTATGAGATTGTATTTAAAAGGAAACCCAAGCACCAAAATGATTTGTACACAGAACTTAACTGACAATAATGACTACTGATTCATCCAATAATAAATCACAGCAAAACTTAATGGAATCATATTTCTTATTAAATGAATATAATTGTTTCTGATATACTGCTGATCATTCTGTTTTTTTCTTCCCTTTTGATTAGGTTCATGAATTATGTGATAGTTTTTGTTCACGTTATATTACATGTTTAAAAGGTAAAATGCCATTGGATTTAGTATGTGAAGATAGAGAATCTGCTGCTGATTCAACAGGTTCAGCAACAAGTCCATTTTTAAATCGTTCATCTACACCAAATTTATTTACTGATCAAAATGAATCATTAATAAACAATCAACAGAATAATTCTAATTTATACAATAATAATAATAACTCTATACAACATGGATCTTTATTACTTTCAAATAATCTTATTCAATCGTCCTCCTCCTCCTCATCATCATCATCATCCTCGTCATCATCCAATTCACTGACATCAAATTCAATGCCTTATCCGCAAGAGACTTGTTTATTTAATCAAGATTCATCCAATCGAATTAACAACGATACAACTACTACTACTAATAATAATAATGCATCAACTGTAGAAAATTTTAAAACTATTCTATCCAATGAATTTGAACATAATCAAATTGTAAATGGTAAAAATATGCATATCATTGCAGATTCATCTAAATTAGCCTCTGGCTTAAATGGTTCCATGTCATCATCGTCTACATCATCAATGGGTTCCACTTCACCGAATGCACAAGCAGTAAGTTAATTGAAATAATGTGGTTTTGTTTTTTGTTTTTTTTGGGGGAAAATGAATTCATTCATAGAATGAATGAAAATTTATTCAGCAAAACTAAACACCAAAAATCTTCATCTTTTCAAATTTAACAATCAACCCTAAAATCTCTTGCAGAAATGAATATGAAACAATCAACTGATTTCGTCAAAAAATATATTATCATTTATCAAGTTATTAATTAGCATTTATTGTTTTAATATTATTCAAGATATTACTATAGTATTATTAAGTCTATCTTTGTTGACGTAAATTATGAATTTTTGTCAAATTAATTCGCCTTAATGCTGAATATTCGTCACAAATTATTATTTGAAATTTTTTAAACAATCTTGACTAAAATATTGATTTGTTGAGTAAAATAAACACCTGAAACTACTCCAATAAGAGCGTGAAATATTTCTGTTATTATTATTATTATTATTATCATTAGTAGTAGTAGTAGTAGTAGTAGTAACATACTTTACAGCAAGGAGATTTCAGAATATGACATCTTTACGAAAATACATTGTTTAGTTGATTTTACGTTCACTGCGTAAAATTAATAATGAACAATCAAAGAATAGTTGGAATCGTTCGTTAGGAAAAAAACAGATTTATTCATGATAGCACATAAGTTTTATTTTATTCATTTTGTACAGATCATTCATTTAATTTTTAATGATTTCTTCCAATGATTCATAATCAAACATATATACATGGAAATATTTTCAATAAATATTGAACATAGGATATATAAATGTATATGAATTTCTTGTTTATTCAAAGTGTCAATGACAAGAACGATTCTTATCCAGGGTAAAAAAGAAATACCAATAAATGATTAAATCAACTAAATATCATAAATATTTCATTGGAGAATGAAAAATTCAATTAATAATTTCCCAAATTCTCCCAAAAAATGACAAGTATAGATATAAGATACTAAATCATATATATATATATATATATATATATATATATATATAAACAATCTTATTTCAAGTGACATTTACGTGTATGCGAATGTAAGTGCGTGCACATATCTCTTTAGTTATGTATGTGTATGTTTATGATATGACACTTGGCAGTTATGACCAATGATCAATGATTGATTTTCAACAAAGTTATTCAAATGTAAATAAACAAAATCATAAGAGAATCGAAATTTCAGAATAAGTTAAATATAAATATTGTGTCAACATACTATTTATATAAAATCTGGAAATTTGTTTATTTATTTAGAAAAAGAAGGTAGAGTAATCTAATTAAATGTTACTTTGTCACTTGTTGTAAAATACTATTTATGGACTATGGATATGATGAGTCTTACCAGTGGAAAATTCAGATGGTTGGTAATGTATACGTTATTTGTCAAATAAAAGAGAAAATTTCGTGACAACTTCAATATCATTTGGTCAATAATCGTGAACATTTAGGATTTAATGAATAGGTTTTTATTTCTCTTATTCTGTGGTTTTTCTAATGGTATATCGTGTTGTGCTTGTTCTAGTGGGTTTTTTTGAAAACATGATGAAATTCACTGGTATCCACGAAGCAATACCACACTTTAGCCTTTACAACAGAATTACACGCTTAACAAGTTTTTTAAGTGTTTCACTTATTCAATTTACTTTCAATATTTTACAATCACGTAAGTTCGTCCAACAGTATCAACATTCTGAATTTTATTTCTCAACTGTCATTATATATATTATTATGTATTATGACAACTAAATAAAGCCATTTTGAAGTTGCTTGATATGGTGAATCGAAATTTGTTGCAGCGGTAACTACTTAACATTAGTTTGCAGACTAGCTGCCGTAAGTACGTCAAGGTTTTTGTACTGTCCTTTTGTTCTAGTCTTCCCATAAGATATCACTTTTTTCAAATGCTTAGATTATTAACAGAGAGAGATAGTGGCTAGCAGTGGAATATAGGGTGTGAGTTTCGTCCTATTCGGAAATCATTATCTGGATGGTGTTCGCTCCAAGACTCGAACCCAGTACTGTTCAGCTTATAATGCTTGTGGCCTAATGACTATATCGAGGCTATCCACACAGTATATACATATGTCAAGTGAGACTGGTTAATTGTATTCCAAACTATCAGTGGGTGGATTTAAGCTATTAATACACATGAATTTAGATTACTGAGTTAGTAAACAAAGAAAAAATTTCAGAAAATAAAATTTTCTCGTTGATGACGTCATTTCCTAAGTCGATGACATTATATTTATTTTATTTTAGACTACTATGTATAAGATTATTTATGATGGTTGGATGGCCGAAGAAAATAACATCTTTCGAAAGAATATTTCCCGTAATGATTCGTCTTCGTTCTACTTGGATTACTAGTACTGTAACAATCATAAGCTCACTGGTAACTAATTTCGAGCGGCATTTTCCACAGTTTTAGTAACCAATAGATTTCAATTGCGTCGAGTATGAGGTGGTTAACAAATAGTGGTAACTCAATCAATAGACTGACCACAGATCGGATGTGGTCATTCACTTTAGCTATTATGGTGATGACCATAGTATCCACACGTGGATATCAGCTGCTCCCACGTACTATCCAATTAAGATTATCCTGAAATAATTTAATTAACTAGAATACACTTATTACGACTATCCGGGAAATATCAGAAACTATGTAAAAAATGTCGTGCATTTCAAGTTTTGCAAAAATCTCCATAGAAAACTAAATCTACTAATCAATACATCTTGTTAGTTAGTTAGTTAGGTCTAATTTTCTTTTGCCTAACAATTAAGTCGAACAATCTTAGTCAATTTGATAAAAAGAGCCAATCAACTAGTTATTGTGATATATCATATCATATTACATTGTTTTAAGAATCGAAACTGAGGCATGAATTATTCTTTTAAGTAATTTCATCAATAGCCCTTGCGATAATATTTTTTTCTGGCAGTATTAGTAGTAGGATGAGGGAATAATTGAAGAAATTGAAGAACAGCTAGAATGTCTGCAGAAAATACAAAAAAGTTTCATGTATCATTTACGTTTAGCCATTTGTGTGTTTCTATATCCATACACGAACACATGCTTGCAGGCACACATACATGCATTTGCGTAGAAAACCACTTACAAAATAGGATAGAATGACAAGTTCACATAGTAATAATAAAAGATGAATTAGTCATTTGCCATGTGAGCATCAAAACACACACAAACCTAATTTTAGATAATCCTGATATTGAAATCTATGATGATGATGATGATGACGATGATTAGAATGACGGTGATATTACACAGCAACTGACTTATTTAATTGGCTTGGTAACAGCTTGTAAAATTGAACATATAGAAAAAATGTATGTATAATGTCACGGGGTTTAACTGAATTCTCTGTAGAAAATTTGACAGATTCAAATGACTGTTTTCAATTGCTTTTATGAAGAGAAACACAGAAAAACACAACTATACACACAAGGCAAAGATGAATTAGGAAGAGAAAATTTAAATGGAAAAGCTATCATCGTCGTCATCACCACCACACCATACCATCATCAAAACGACCACTGGAAAAGCTTTTCAAAGAATGTCATCATTCTGTGTGTGTGTGTGTGTGGTTTGATGAGATGCACAAATGATTGGGATAATTAAAAATTTAAAAAAAAAACATGGCATAAATGCTATAAATAGTAAAGAGAGAAGAGACTGTAAGCAACAGGATGAAGGTAGATGTTGTTGTTTCAGAATTCAAAAAAAAAATTGAGAATAGAAGAGACAATTTTTCTTCATTTGTCAATGTTCAATTTTCCTTTTTTAATATTTAAATTTATCATCAAAATTTCTGTTCGGTTTTTTTTCCTCATTTAGATTATATTTATAATTTGTAAATAACATGCTTTGTAATGAGTTAAAAAAAAATGATGAAACTAACAACTTGATTCGTCAATATAATACACGTTTATCAAAAAAAATCATTGAATAAATATGAAAATTAGGGAGACATTGAATATTTTGTGTTAGTTGTTGCTATATGATTTTCTTTAGCTAACTGTAATATAATGCAACAAAACAAGATAAAAAAACAATGATCCGCTAATTATGGCATTGTGGATTGTCACAGATGAAATCACGAACGAATTTTAGTTAGATCAACAATGTAAAACAGCAAGCATTGAATAGCTGTTTCATCTTCATATCTGACTCTTTATAAATGTACATTCACAATCCATAAACAAGTAAATGAACTGAAGACTCTCAACTTCATACATGAACACCTAACCTATAGACTACTGAGTCAGCCAATACTGAGTGATCATCTTTCCATGTCTACTGTGGATAGTTAACTGTATGAAATCTGACATAGCTGAACTCCATGGTTTACAGCTTTTCACCATAACTCCAGGAGTTGCATTTTCAAGTTGCTTAATTATGAATGCAAGGTTATTATCAGTATATGATTTTTACAGATTGTAAAATGTTTGCACTTAAAATCACTAGTAGATCTTAGATGGATTATTTAGTATTTATAAAGATAAAATTATTCGTTTCTTTACAATAGCTCCAATGGTAATATTTTTATCATTAAAAAAAGACAAGTAATTTTCAGATTTAAGTTCATTACAAAAGACTACTTAAGGATTTATCTTGCAATTCAATATCTATAAATTGATAAGCTGATGAAATGTTATAGGGTAGACTATTAAGCTGTTATACATTATTTTTAAAGAAGATTGCATGTAGTACAAATTGATATCAGATCGAAGAACAACTGAAAAGTGTGTAGAAGTATTAATTTTTAATCACTCGTCAGTTGATGTGATTATTTCGTGATATAAATCATTGCTAAACTGCTAGAAGAATGTCTTTCTTACTGATGGTTACTTTCAAGATGGATTTGTCAAACTGCTAATGAAAATTATTGACTTATATATGCTTAAACAATTAGTCGAGAATGTAAAACATGAATTCATCATTGAAAATTATTCAGATCTGAATTATACCATTAACTGACGAAAACTGGACGTTTGAATTTTTAAATTTATAATCAGTGATACTATAGTATCATGCTTTTTCACTGATTTTCTTGATAAAGCCATTACTACTGAGAACACGATTCATAAATGTCTTATGACTAAAATGATTATTTTAACATTTGGTTGAGATAGAAGGAGGAAATGCCAATGGCAATCATCAAATAGTATTTTCTCCAGTTAAATTACATAATTTGATCATTTCCAAGTTTAATCATACCAATTCACTAATGTAAAAAGCAACTGACATAACAATGTTAACATTGTAAAAAGAAGCCAACAAAACAAGTCTCTGTCATGAGTGGTCACAAAAAAAATTAATTGACAAGTCTGCATTTTTGGACAGATCACAAAGATCATGTACATACTTTTTTAAAAAAAACCTGTCGATCAATAATCATGATAAATTATCGATATGTTAACCGATTAATGTGTCAAGTAAATTTGACATGCTTTTGTTTCAATTTAACTAATCAAATGAATGCTAGTTAATGATTATTAACAAATATTTTATTTTCGGTTGGCTATAAATTAGGTCATAGCTTAAATGAGATCAATAGAAATTAGGTTACATTGAATAGCTTGTTCTGATAATCATCACATTCACAACTAGTAATAATAAAATTTTTCTTGATACTCAATTCAATGCTGTTATGATTTGATGTAAACATGAATTATTGTTCTAATCTAGTTATTTCAACTTCACTGAACACTGATTTCAATGTATGTTATCAATATTCGTTGAAGAAAGAGGTTTTACAATGAGATGATCGCTGAGTATGCAGTTTTCTTGGTTACGGCGTTTATATATCTCTTGATAACATTTTAAACGTTGTGTTACAGTCGCAGTGATAGTAAACTGCAATAATTATGATAAATAAGTGTAGTTGTACGATTTAGTACAGTTATTCATTTCGCAGCCAATATTTAAACAGATTATAGACTATAGTTCGAATATGTTAATTTCCACAAAAAGTCAGGTCTAAAAATCTGCTATGTTATTCACCTATTAATTTTGTAATTAACTTTTTTTCATACGATAATATGATCGATAATTCATTGAACAATACCTTGTGACCAGTATGATATTTGTTTAGTCTTTTGAGTGTTGATCAAATTCTATCGATCAAGTTACAATGTGACCGATTGTCTAAGTGACTCAGCATCACGTGAATTATGTTGAAATGTAAGTTGGTGGTTGTAGGTAGTTAACATGAGACCTTATGCCTAGGTTTTGTGTTAATTAGCACTCTTCAGCATGACGTACCTGCAATCTTTATCGAAATGAGTCACATGTCACTTAGCCCGTTGGACAGTGCCATATTTTTAAACACAACTCACAAAATATGCACACAGTTTTATGTTAGACAACACTAACACTCGTTTTTTCGCTTACGGACATTATAATGCTGAAATTATAGCGGAGGTTTTGTGGTAACCTTTGTAATAATACATCACTTTCAAGGAAAACATATATGTGCTTACTTTTGGAAAGTATATTCATACTCTTCGGTGAATCATGTACTATTAGTAACTTTATTCAACTTTTTCTACTTTTCACGATCTGACGGAAAACCCAAATTTTCTAGAGGATGATGCTTTTTTATTGGTAGTTCAAAGGTATACAACTTTCCTCCATTGATATTAAGTCATAATTTGCGATCGATGCTCAAGTGTAAATGTTGCGTTGGTTTTACATTTGTTTCTTCATTGACTGTGATCATTTGCTGTAATCAAGACTGTTCACAATTTCGTTCGAATTTTAGAGTTGTATTATGATTGACAACTACGGCTTACCATCTAAACCAGCTAACATAGTTCACAGTTCATATGTCTAACGTGATTAAACGAAAACGATTAGTATTGAAGAGTAGATAGAATGACACGCATTACTATTCACTGTCAGTCATTCTGACTTGATCTTGACTGACTTCTCACGCTTTTTATTTAGGATAAGGATGACACATGACAGTTTGTGAAAAGAATTCTAGAATTTGGATTTTCACTGTAAGCTTCAATGTAGCTAGTCTGTGTTTAGTTTCACAATAATCTTTTACAAAGAATAAACACTAATTTATTGGATATCATTAGCTTGAATTCAATTCATTGTTCGTTTAATGTTAAAATAGATTCTTACCAAGTTCGCTTTTCAAGAATACACTCTTACTTAGTAGACAACATGACAATAATAAATGATCAGTAATTCGTATTATCCTCAGGAATAAAATTGTCGGTAATCCGAAGAGTCAAAATTCGTATAAATAATTCAGTTTATTCAACAAAGTATGCTCACAATTTGGTAGATGGATCATTGAATGTTTTGGTCACTTCCGATAATTTTGGAGAAAAATGTCATTGTATTAAGCACAAGAGAAGATCTAAATGGAAAAAGTTGTAGCAAGTGAAAATTAATTTACTTACAAAAATTTGTAGAAGAAACTCACCCCATTTAGTCGTTTACCATTTGATTTAAATTTTAATGAATATACCATTTTTATCAAATCCTTTATATGTTGTCTTACTTTTTTGTACTTACCTCAAACAATCCTGTTCTGATGTAAGCTTAAGGATCTTTAAGATATTCGACCTCATTGCATACACATAATTACCATCATTAAGTATATTAGTTTATCTGTAGATTTTAAAGCACGAACCTAATGGGAGTTGATGAACAACATTTACATATTATTCATAAAGAAAATGATGATAGTAAATTGATACAACAAGTATGATTATCAAACAAATTAGTCCATAATATAATTTTTTTTTCCAATTTTATTAAGAAAATAAGATGGTTTATAATGAAACTTATACTTACGAAAGCATTATTAAATAGATGAATAAATGATTATCTGTCATAAGGTTTAGAATTAGATTCTATCTCTTTATTCTATGATAAAAAGATATTTATGTGTGTGTGTGAGAGAGAGTAAATAGAAAGACTAACAACCTATCTAACACATTATACAAAGCCGTAAACTCACACAATAATAGATGTACAATCATTTATTGTTAATATATTCTTCGATTTTTTGAAATATTCATTATTTTTCTCATCAGCTTCATTTCTCTTTCTACCATGATACAATTCATTATACCATCATTCTATATATATAGGCATATTTGAAGAATATCACCTCATAATGAATTATGACTTAGTTTATCAGGTGCAATTGACGTATCGCGGGAATTATATTCATTCATTGTTTGGTTGTATTGTCTATTTTGTTCAATTTTCGTTTGTTTTCTTCTGTTTAGAGGGCGGATAATTTTAGTATGAGAGAGAAAAAGTTAATGAGGAGAGACTGGAAATGGATAAAAAAAACATATATGTAAAGTAAAAGAAATTTCGATTAATTCTTCTCTTGAAGCATACAAGGTGAAGAAGAAGAACTTTTAACTAGATTATTAACTAAACTTGAAGGGATATGGAAAATTCAGGCAAAATAATATTTTTTTGTTTTAACAGTAATAAAAATAGTAATAATAATATTGATAATCACAATAGCATGAAACAAAAAACAAGTTGAGAGTATAGTGAAGTGAATTATGTATAGTGGAAGTGAGAAGTAGTGCAACCCTCTCTTTCTCTCGTTATAAAATAGAAATTCTTTCTATCGAAGAACAAAAATCATAAACAATGTCAGTTTGTATGATATGCAATGAATGCATCGATTGTCTTCTGGTGTTATATTCGTGTTTTTGTTTCTCTGAATGAAGGAAGTATCAGTATGTTTTAAAAAGTAAAAGTGTTTAGACGATTATTCTCTTGTTATTCATATAACGAACAATATATGTATGGTAGAAATGAATGAAATAATTATAGTTTAATTTTTCGATTATTTGCAGGCTTTTTTAGTGTGAGAAATGTACAAACTGATGCATCTTGGAATGATGATAAAACTAATTACTTTTTTTGATAAACAAGTTGACATCGATTGATAATCCATGGAAAATTATAATTTAAACTTAAGTTTTTCGAATTTTGGTTTGTTCTATAATACTTTATTGATGTGAAGAACGGTCACTTGTTGAAGTGTCGAGTGTGAAGTTTTATATCTATCATGTAATAAGTAAGTATTGAGTGGTTAGAAAATCCTATCTGACAGTTAATCACATAAGATACAAGCTCTTGTTCAATATGGTCAATCTATCAGTGACGTTTTTCTACATGAAAACGACTTGACTGAAGTGAATTTAAAGTCAATTGCTTACCGATGTTATTTGATAAAACTAAACAAAACCAATAATTTTATAATTTTAGATTTCTATCTATGATCTTAGAAGTAAGACACTTTTCACAGAAGTCAATAGCTCATAGTTTGGTTGAATTTCAAACTAAAGATCATAATGAATAATTGTTTCTGTTATTTTAATATGGCAGTTATATTTTTTTCATTTCTATGGTCTATTTTGTGAAATGAGATTTTTATTTTCTACAAATTTATTAATCTTACCAAAATTTGATTAATTCTATTTCCTGTGTACAGCCATCGGTGAGTCGTAACCAAACAGCATTGTGTGGATTATCGAGTGTCACATCTAACGCAGTTAATCCAACTTCAATGATTGCTGCAGCAGCTGCTTTAACTGGAATTTCTACTGTAACCGATTCAAGAGAAAGTAGTTCAAATGATTCGTATTCTGATTCACAAATTAACTCTCATTCAAGTTTAGCTGAATTTTATATGAACCAATCTAACTTTTATGGTGCAAATCCTCACGATGGAAATAACATATGTTCAACTACGATTAACAATACTAATACTACTGCTACTACAGCCACTTCTATGAGCAGTAGAATTTACACAGATGATATTGACAATGATGGTGTTGCAATTAATCAAGATGCTGATAAACCAATAAATTTCCATACAAATCTATTTGATCATTCTCCTCAGTCATTCTATAGAAATTCATATTATAATCAATATTTCTCACAATATATACGAGATAACATTCCTTTGAATAGTATATTACCAAATATGGATGATACTTTAAACTATACAGAATTATCAAACAATCATAATAATAATATGAATGGTAGTCATATAAATCGAAATTATGACTATTCTAATCCTTATGGATTTTATTCCAATTTTTTCTTAAATTCAAATAACATGAATTCTAGTGATACGATCGGTGGTTGTTCTACATCTTCAACCAAAATGATGAATTCACCTAATTCATCACCCTACCATCAACATCAACATCACCATAATCAGAAACAGCAACATCAACACCAACAGAACAATCAATTGCGCAATCATTATAATTCATTACTTAATGATGCAATGAATAAAGATAATTGTAATTATTCCAATTCATTATATTCAAGTCAATCGATACCGTCATGTTTATCAGAAACCATGAATTCTACAATTCATCCTCCTAATCCCACTGATCATTATATTGATATTCCTGATAATGTACAGTCTCGTTCACATGAAATAGCTCATCAGCAATATGAAACTAATCCATCTGACCATAGTCCAAATTCAATACCATATTTACAACATACACTACAATCACATTATCCAATGCTATCGAACAGTGCTTCAATTCCAATGAGATCAAAATCACCATCCGCATTATTATCAACGCCATCATTACAATATAATAATAATCTTTATCCATTACAAAATTTTCCATCTACTCATACACATTCATCATCATTGCATAATTCACAGCATACAGGAGGACATCGTACTAATTGTATACCATCTAGACCAACATCAAGAATAAGACACAGTAAAACATCCTCTTTGAATGGTTCCATTCGTAGTGATAGTTCATTGAATGATGATCTACAAACAGACAGAATCGGACTTAAATCAAATGAACTAGGAATAGATGAAACTGGTAAGTGTTTATTGATAAAATTGTTTTAAAAAAAATTATAATGATTCTAAATTAGATTGATGTTCTTTTTTAATGGAACTAAAACTAAAATTTTATTCAACGAAGCCATTTAAATCGCAAAATCCCTAGATCAATCAGAGTTAGACATTAACACCGTTGGATGCCGGCCCAGTGGTCCAACGGTTAGGCGTTCGTGCACAATTCCGAAGGTCCCGCGTTCGAATCCTGCGAGGTGCAGGAGTCGTGGGTGCGCACTGTTGATGTGTCCCATACCAGGACCAAATGGTCGTCCTTCAGTGCTTCCAGGTTTCTAATGGTGGTCTAGCAATGATTGATTGATGATTTCAAATGTGTAAAAACACTTATCTTCATAAATCTAATCGAGAATATATTATACACAAACTAATCTTTTAAATGAGCTTTATAAGCAGGAAAATCTTGGGGAAATACTGAAATGAAGTTTAATACTTCATCCTACATTCAAAATTACTCCAGTCTAACTTAAAAACTATAAAATTAAAGGTTTGATCAATTTTAAAAATAATTAAAATAGTTGATTTTCGAGAAAAATTGAAAAAACAAAAGAATTCTTGTTACAGGTACAAGAGATTGTATATCACTTGTTAAACAACAAATATTTAGATGACTACATCAGTGAATGGTTATGAACGTTTAATTTTTTGATTAAAGATTTCCAATAATACTTCTATAAAATGATGATCAAATATCAGTCTAGTTTTATTGTGTGTAAGGTAAAAGGGTTGAAAAAAATGCGTTTTGTTCAATCATTAAGCCACATTTTTTTCGGAAATAGTTGAATATCTCTTTTTATAATTACGCATGTTTTAACCAGCTATTTTTAACTGAGTTTATTGAAAAGTTTTGCATACTTTCAATGTAACTGAAAAATTGACTTACATCTTGACCAAAAATCAAACATATTGGCTTTGCTTACATTTACATAAGTTTAAATATGTATTTTTATTGACTCAATCCAGATGAACAGTGAATTTTTATCTTATAATTAATTTTAAAACAATATCGGTAAAGTAATATTGAATTCAAATCCTATGAAAGTTAAGTCATTCAATCTAATTAGTACTTAACTATGACGCTACATTAGTTTGTGTCGAAAAGCATATCAACTTTGTTACTCTTCAGATGCGATATAATAAAATACTAGTCTTCATTTTATCAAGTATACGTATTTGACTTTTGAGCATTGCATTGACGAGAATATAGTGCTGAATTTTTTTTTAAAGCATCACATTTCTTCCACAGTATCTTTAGTTAAACTTAGAACTAAAAATGTTTGCTATTTGAGATCATATCTGTCAAGTTATATTAACATAAAGTTTAATCATGGTAGAAATCTTTAACAGTTTTTGAAATGACAATCAGTTCGATAGTATATCACTGTTTTATTAAACAAAATTCTACTCGAATGACAACAGATAGCAATAATAAATGGAAACTTCTTGTGAATTACTGAGTAACACGTTTAATTTGTTCGATGAAAAGTACAATGAACATGAACTCTGAAATACAAATACATCAAACTGACTCCCTATTAAGACAAAATAAACATTTTGGATTCCGAAAATAGTCAATAATTTAACTATTCTGAATTCATGCTACTTAATCTGTCATTTGGACCATGCAAAATTATATCGATCGAATAGAGACATACACACTTCAATAAGGAATTTATTAGAAAAATTTCATTTCTACTCAACTATCCAACAATAAAAGTTAATTTTTAAATTCTCTTCTGAAAACAAATCAAAGTTGTTGTTTTTTTTCATCTACAAAAAATAATTTCATTTTTTTTGTGTTTTCATTTGAACGTTTGTTTTTCCGATTTTCTGACTAAATGTCAAAATATTTATATATATATATATGTATATATATATATATATATATATATATATATATATATATACAAAATTCTATTTAACAAACTCATTTTTTTCCTTAAAAAAAACTGAGTCAGTTAGATAAACTTTTTTGTTTAAATGCATGAAAAAAAGGAAGGCGAGTGAATAGAGCAACCGTAGTACTTTTTACATTCAACAGCTTTTCATATATTTCCAATCGAGAAGCAATATGCTTCAGCATAGAAAAAACTGCACAATATCGAATGCAACAATACAAAATCAAAAAAAAATAAATAATAAAAATAAAATGACAATTGACGTTTTGTTTTAATTTCAAAAATAAACAAAAATCATAATACTAATAATAATAATAATAATAAAATTTTTCCAAACTCTCGTTTATTCCCTTTCGTTTTGCATGCATTCGAAAGAAGGAATAAAAATGAACAGGATAAGAAGAAAGTCTGGATTTTGACTGAATGTGAAAGTCAATGAATGTAGTAGAATGGAGACCAAAGCAGATTATTATTTTCTCTATATTATAATATTCGGTGACTAACAGAATATTTTATTTTACATATTCTAGTTGACAACGTTGACTAATATAGAAAAAAAAAGAAATACAAACACTACATAGACTGGCATTCCGCCTATCAAACCGCTCATTTTATTCTTTGACTAATCTACATTTTTCCCTCTGAATTGAAAACTGCGAGTATATATATATATATATATATATATATATATATAGAGAGAGAGAGAGAGAGAGTAAGACTTAGAAAAATCTATGACGACAAATACATTAAAATCTTTCACATTGTACATCGGTTATTCACTGTTTCTTTTTTTTCTCAACTAAAATCCTCATTATATTTTCGTGTATGAATAAATGGCAGCATAGATAATAAAAAAAACAACAAGTGAAAAGTACTTTTTGTCTAAATGAAGTTTGTTCAGCATTTGTAGGAATGTTTTATTTTAAATCTTGATTATTTTTTCAAAAAGTAAAAGAGAAACTACTCCAAAAAAATATTTAGTTTGTAAAACAGTAGGGAGAAAATATTTTTGTTTGTATTTAAACTGAATAACTTCACTCGTAATATGCTAAAATTGTGTTATGATGATTGGATAAATGAACAAAGTTATTTTATGCACACATAGTTTGTATAATAATTTAAACAAATTTAATATTCAATCTATGAATAAAAATGTTCAATTTTTTTGACAATCGTATATATATGTTATAACAAATTCATGCACACATCTTTCTATGTACATACACGTGTACATTACCATTTCATGATCAGTTAATCATTTTTTTTATCAGGAACATTAATTCAATTCCTATTAAATCATGTTTTTCAATCAATTTAATACGCTACAAATTGAATATCGATAAAGATTTATCACTAATAAAATTGGATAGAATTTTTTCAACCAACTTTTATCTATCTACAGGAATGTAAATATCATTGTAATGACTATGTTATGATTAACAGTGATAATAGTTGAATAATTAGTTTTTCTATTTAGAATTAAGAGTTAGAAGTGTTGTTATTGTATCTATTTGTCAACCAATAAATAACAAAATAATGATATCTTTAGGATATTTCGTAATCTGTTTAACTTGTCATAAAGCATCATTGCTATATATGAGTCATCGTAGTACTATAAATTGGATTCATTTTACTAACTGAGAAAACTTATGCTGATCTATCTACTTCTAAACGTTTTATCATTAAGACTTAATTTGTAATTCGAGTTATTTTCACAGAGAATATCTTCCCTTCACCCACTCCCCCCATAAAGATACGGCAATAGGCTTACATGATTTTATGGAAAGCTTTGATTTCTCTGTTTTTTCTATCTTAAAAATATCTAAAACACATCAGTTTGTTTATATTCGATAATGGGGAAAAAACGATTCTCTAGTCAATAAGTGTACGTGTAGTTCATGCTCACATTCACAATTGAAAACAAAAGCTGAATATTTCATTATACTAATTAGATTATAAAATATTTGAATGGATCATTTTGTCTTTAATCATACAAAATTTCCAGTAGAGAAAAATACAATGTATATAAATGAAACGGAGAAATAAAAGAATTCAATTTAAAAGGAAAAAATAGAACTAGGAAAAGATGAATCTTATCTATAAACACATATCTATATATACATACAGTAGATGAAAGGAACTAATATATTTGTACATGCCTGTGTGTGTTTTTGCTAGCATAATTGAAAATGCTTTCATTACATATACACCTGAAACTTATTCTCTATTGTCATTTAAGTTGGTAGATAATTGTATTTTGTTTTAATTAAATTGAAATAAATCCTCATTACCTTAATCAGGTCTGCATTTCTTTATTTGTTTTTTGAAACAAAACTTTTAAAATTAGCTGAATAAAACAATTATTCTGTTCTTTTTGTTTATTTAAATCTACACAAAAATTAAATCCTAAATACAATAGTATTAATTATGTTATAAAATTTAAGTAGAAAGTTGAAGCGCGCATCCATTCACTATAGACAGGGTTATATATATATATATTCTTATTATCAAATATGTCAGTGGATGGAAATTTATTTCATCTTCTGTACAAAGAAAATTTCAAGGTTAACAGAAACTCCTGAAAAATATTAATCGGAATATTTTCTATTAAAAGCTAAATGCATTGTCTAACTTTGGTGATGATGAGTTGAAATAATCATTATACTGAAATCATTATTTAAAAAAAAACATTTTTAGACTGTAACATCAGCGAAAATAGGTACTTCTACAATTAATGAAATTAATTCAGATATAAATAAATTCAAAATGTAAGTATATACTGTTTTATTGCTCTTCTTAGATCTTTTACGATTTGTAAACAAAGAATGTAAAATCAAACTTAGTTTGTTATCTTCCCATATTTTGCAATCAAAATTATTAGTTACAGTTGAATATACTAATTTGTGTCAGCAATGGAAAGCCTGTCTTTTCGACTAAACAGTGATTATTAGATTTTCATTCTTAAATACTTTAAAACTTGTAATAGAAGATCTAGCTAGACCCTGTTAAAGCGATTTATTAAAGTTCATTTCGCGGATGGAATGTTTTCGTTGATAATTAATTTTAG